AAAAGTCACATAATTTGCATAACTGCATGTGACAAACGTGGAAAAAAATAAATGAGAGAAAATTGTCCTGGTCTCAGTCAAAAGGCCTAGCCATGAGACGTAGTGCAGAAGGGAGCTTTAGTGTCACACCCTAGAGCAGTTTCACACAGTAGAATCCCAAACCCACAGTGCTACTCCAGCACTCCCAGGATGGGACGCCATTCCAAGGGGTTGCTTGAAACCGTGGGACCTCTGCCTTCCTAGCCCCTGACAAGGTATCACAATCAAATCAGGAGGCACTGGGCCCCTTAAAATCTTCCACACCATGGAATTAATCCCGACCCTCAACTCACCCAGTGGGTGCTCTGGTTTCTGTCCCCATGGGGAGATCCCTCAGGACCTCCATCATACCAGCAAGGATACTATACAGCCAGCCATCCAAGCCAGAAAGCTAGAATGATGACAGAGCACCCCTACTGGACACTGATAAGAACACATACTACAGCCAAAAGGCCGAGAAGCAACAGAGTGCTGTGGGGTAAGTCAGTTAAAGCGGAGCTCCACCCAAAAGGGGAAGTGCCACTTTAACTCTTTGTCCCCCACTCCCCATTAAGAATTGTCACCTTTGGGGATCGGGGAGGGAGGGGGTACCCGAATTTGACAGGTACTTGCTCCCACCCCTCCCTCCCGTAGTCTTCTGGGACACGTGATAGGTCCCAGAAGACTACGGGGGCATTCACAAAGCGCAGCGCATCTCACACATGCGCAGTGGGTACCCAGCTATGAAGCTGCAAGCTGTCACAGCCGGATGCCCACACTGAAGATGCCGGCGCCGGGGAGAGAAGACGGCCAGTGAAACCAGCCGTGGCGAGGACAGAGCTGGATCGAGGGACAGGTAAGTGACTGTATTTTAAAAGTTAGCAGCTACAGTATTTGTAGCTGCTGACTTTTTTTTTTTATTTCAGGTGGAACTCCGCTTTAAGTCTGCATAAAACCTCAGCTACTTACAGTATATCTTAAGATGTATGGTTCATTTTTACTAATGGTAGCATCTTTTTGTTTTTCATTTGCTTGGTTTAAATTTTCCATGTCTATGACAGGTTTTCTTTACATAAAAGGCAGTGTCTGGAATGACAGGGCCAAGGGATTTATACAGTTGTACTTAAAAGTTTGCATACCCTGGCAGAAATTGTGAAATTTTGGCGTTGATATTGAAAATATGACTGATCATGCCACAAAATGCTCTTTTATTGAAGGATGATGATCATATGAAGCCATTTATTATCAAATAGTTGTTTGGCTCCTTTTTAAATCATAAATAACAGAAATCACCCAAATGGCCTAGATCAAAACTTTACATCCCCTGGAATGTTTGGCCTTGGTACAGACACACAAGGTGACACACACGGGTTAAAATGCCAATTAGAGGTTAATGTCCCACATCTGTGGCTTTTTAGATTGCAATTAGTGTCAGTGTATAAATAATCAATGAGATTGTTAGCTATTACATAGAAGCACTGACTAGGCTAGATACTGAGCTATGAGGATCAGAAAAGAACTGTTAAAAGTCCTGTGTAACAAGGTAATGGAGCTTTATAAAGATGGAAAAGGACATAAAAAGATGTCCAAAGCCTTGAATATGCCAATCAGTACTGTTAAATCACCTATTAAGAAGTGGAAAGTTCAGGGATCTTTTGATACCAAGCCAAGGTCAGGTAGACCAAGAAAGATTGCAGCCACAACTGTCAGAAGAATTCTTAGGAATACAAAGTGAAACCCATAGGTAACCACACAGAAAAATACAGGCTGCTCTGGAAAAAGACAGTGTGGTTGTTTTGAAAGAGCACAATATGATGACACTTGAACAAAAATGAGCTGCATGGTCGAGGTGCCAGAAAGAAGCTTTTACTGCATCAATTGTATACTGTATATAATGCACTCGCATTCAAATAGTACATGTTTGCTTTAATTTTCCCAGTTACATACATGTAATGTTGTTAATGAGAGAAGGGGGTGGAGCTTGTGTAAAAAGGTGCATTATTCTCACCACCTAGGACAGTATGAATACTGAACACAGCCCCATATAGAGGTGCATACTACAATGATCTCTCCTTTCCTGCTTTGTTTGCTCCTGTCTGAAGTGTTGTTATAGCGGGACAATAGCTGCCTTCGCCTTCCCATGACAAAACGCCACTTTTTTTTGTCTGTTGTATTCTTGCTCCATGGACGCCTTTCATGTCTTGCAGTAGTGTGTGCAGCTCTTTGTAGTCACACCTGCGGCTGAGACACACCGACACAACCTGTCATCGCTCCTGTCCCCGATTACACCTCTCCACTATCTGTGAAAGAGTCTTAATAACATCCGTAGACAGATGTGCACCAAGAGCTTATCAAAACTGGAAAATATCGAAAATGAACAGAATACACTGCTGCCCTCCTCTCTAGTTCCTTTCTATCCCGTAGAAAAAAAATGTAAAAAAAACTTCAGATTGCACAGTTTTTTCACACTTTTCTTAGATCTTCTAAACCATGTGACCTGAGGGTACACCTTAAAGATGAACTCAAGGCACAAAATATTTCATTTAGATACAGTATATACCTCAATGTCCAAAAAGAATATAAATCTACTTTGTTTGCACCAAATGCCTTTGCAACCCCAAGTATTGCCTTGCAAAAGTAGCAGTGACATCATCACTGTGCAGTAAATAGCCTGTGCAGAGAGCAGAGCTGTGGGAGGGACCCAGCAGGTTCCCCCCCCACTATAGGCTGTCTGCAGAAAACTACAGGAAGGGGCGGCGACAAGACCAGTCACCCTGTACAAGCAGAGAGAGCAACAGTGACTAGTCCCAGGGGCGGACTGACCATTTGGAAACTCGGGCACTGCCCGAGGGCCCGGGGTCAGTAGAGGGCCCCATGAGATGCCTCTGGTACCTTTTTCATAGGCTTTTTTGAGCTTGGGCAAGGACACAGCGGCCCCATGATCCCCTATTGCCCGGGGGCCCCATGAGTTGTCAGTCGTTCCTGCACAGAGACAAAGTTTAATGCTGGATTATTACAGATCTGGAGGAAATGCACAAAGCATACCAAGATTCTATCAAAATTAATGAGCTTTATTATTTATTTATTTCAGGTACTTATATAGTGCTATCAATTTATGCAGCGCTTTACATATATATATTGTACATTCACATTCACAGTCCCTATCCCTCAAGGGGTGTACAATCTATAGTCCCTAACTCACATTCATACATACACATACTAGGGACAATTTAGACAGAAGTCAAATAACCTACCAGCATGTCTTTGGAGTGTGGGAGGAAACCGGAGTACCCGGAGAGAAAACCCACACAGGCACAGGGAGAACATGCAAACTCCAGGCAGGTGGTGCCGTGGCTGGGGAACAAACCAGCAACCCTAGTACTGCCAGGCGGGAGCGCTAACCATTTAGCCACTGTGCTGCCTTCGTATGGGTGTTAGCCGGGCATTTTACAAGAGTTAAAACGCTCCCCAAACGCCCTATGGTCATTTTATAAGCATTTTACAAGCGTTAAAACTGTACCACAAACACCTATAATAAACTGTAATGTTATTAACGTGCCGCAACCTCACTGCAAACTCCTAGAAAACGCCTACCAGTGCTTGCGGAGTGTCACAGTAGACTTGAATGGAAGGTGTTGAAAAGCTTCAAACTCCTCCTGACTCGACATGAGGCTTCAAATTTTGAAGCGATGCGAGGCTAACGCTTCGTGTTTTGATAATGTAAACAGCATTTTGTGCTGTTCATAGTATCATTTGCATAGGCATTTGAGGAGCGTTAAAAACGCCCCTCAAATGCCAGCTTTCAATGCCAATGTGAACTAGGCCTTAGTGGTCATTTTAAACAGGACAAATTATAAATTACATTTTACTTTTTCTATAGAGTAACTTTTTTTAAACTATCACTGGTCAAAGTAGAAAAAAAGTGTTTTTTTGTTATGATTTTTGTCTATGAATTACATAAAAAATAAAATATTTTTTCGCAAGACAATATCACCAAAAGAAGCCTTGGTTGTTCTGAAAAAACTACATATGCGCGTTATGTTAACCACTTGCCTACCGGGCACTTTTACTTCCTGCCCAGGCCAATTTTCAGCTTTCAGCGCTGTCGCACTTTGAAAGACAATTGCACGGTCATGCAACACTGTACCCATGTGACATTTTTATCATTTTTTCACACACATAGAGCTTTTTTTTGGTCGTATTTAATCACCACTGGAGGTTTTATTTTTTGCACTGTAAACAAAAAGAGAGAAAAAAATAGTTTCTATTATAAAATATTGCAAACAGGTAATTTTTCTCCTTCACTGATGTGCGTTGATGAGGCTGCACTGATAGGCAGCACTGATGGGCACTGATAGGCAGCACTGATGGGCACTGATAGGCAGCACTGATGAGGTGCAACTGGTGGGCATTGAAGAGGCACTGATGCTACACTGATATGCAGCACTGATGGGCACTGGTAGGCAGCACTGATGGGCGACACTGACTGATAGCACCTACTGGTGGCACTGACAGATGGCACTGATGGGCAGCACTGTTGGGTGACACTGCTGGGCAACACTGATGGGTGACACTGCTGGGAGCTGATGGGTGACACTGCTGGGCACTGCTGGGTGGCACTGATAAAGTGGCCTGATTATTAGTGCAGATCTCCCCTGTCACATTTACCAGTTATCAGCACTGGGTGGCGCTGGACGTGGTATACTTGGACAGAGGGGTGGCGGTGGACTTGATATACTTGGACAGAGGGGGGTGGACGTGGTATACTTGACAGAGGGGTGGTGGTGGACGTGGTATACTTAGACAGAGGGGTGGTGGTGAACGTGATATACTTGGACAGAGGGGTGGTTGTGGACGTGATATATTTGGACAGAGGGGTGGCGGTGGACGTGGTATACTTGGACAGAGGGGTGGCGGTGGACGTGGTATACTTGGACAGAGGGGTGGCGGTGGACGTGGTATACTTGGACAGAGGGGTGGTTGTGGATGTGATATACTTGGACAGAGGGGTGGCGGTGGACGTGGTATACTTGGACAGAGGGGTGGCGGTGGACGTGGTATACTTGGACAGAGGGGTGGCGGTGGACGTGGTATACATGCACAGAGGGGTGGTGGTGGACGTGGTATACTTGGACAGAGGGGTGGCGATGGACGTGGTATACTTGGACAGAGGGGTGGCGGTGGACGTGGTATACTTGAACAGAGGGGTGGTGGTGGACGTGGTATACTTGGACAGAGGGGTGGCGGTGGACGTGGAATGCTTGGATTTTGCAAAAGCGTTTGACACAGTTCCCCACACATGGTTAATGTGTAAGGTAAAGTCTACAGGCTTGGAAAAATCAATATGTAAATGGATAGAAAACTGGCTAAAAGATGGTATTCAGAGAGTAGTGGTTAATGATTCATACTCTGAATGGTCTAGGGTCATCAGTGGTGTACCCCAAGGCTCAGTGTTGGGACCCTTACTTTTTAATATATTTATAAACAATATAGGGTCTGAGATTAAAAATCCCATTTCAGTCTTTGCAGATGACACCAAGCTGTGCAGTGGAATAATGTCTTTACAGGATGTCTCCAATTTACAAGCCGACCTCAATGCACTGTTTAATTGGGCAACTATGTGGCAAATGAGGTTTAATGTTGATAAATGTAAGGTTCTGCACTTGGGGGCTAAGAATATGCATGCATCATACATACTAGGGGGGTACAACTGGGGGCATCAATGGTGGAGAAGGATCTGGGGGTTCTGGTAGATCACAAGCTTAATAATGGCCAGCTCAGTGGATTGCTTTAAAAAAGTCCTGGATTGTTTCTTGGATACACAGAATATAACTGGATACTAACATTTATAGGTAAAGCTGATCCAGGGAATATCTGATTGTCTCTCGAAGGATCAGGAAGGTATTTTTTCCCAGCAGGAGCAAATTGGACCGTGCTATGCTGGGGGATTTTTTGTCTTCCTCTGGATCAACTGTGGGTATAGGATTATAACTTTTTTCTATGGTTGAACTGGATGGACGTTTGTCCTTTTTCAGCCAGACTAACTATGTAACTATGTAAATACTGTGACAGCGTGAGGAAAGTGCAGCTGATAACCAGCAACTGTATTTACATTGTGATATGTTGTGTCAGTGGACACAGCTGCTGTGATTGGTCTTTTACCTCATCACCGACAGCGCTGGTTGCATGCCGCTGGGGGGCTCACAGGGGGCGCATTCTGGTAGGACGTCCATGGACACCCTCCCAGAACTGGACATCTGCTCTGTAGCTGTCTTTCGGCTATAACTCAGTTGGGAAGCGGTTAAAGTATAATTAAAAACAAAACTTTTTTTTTTTTTTTAATTTTGGATAGAATGGAGAGGGCTGAGAACATCCATCAGTTTTTATGTTTCTTGTTGCCTGTGACCTCTTAGGGAGATTCATCCTCTCTACTTTTCCTTTTTACTGTTATTATCGAAAGTGAAAGCAAAAAGAGAATCCCAAATTTTGAGTTGTCACAAGAACTGAGATAGAAGAAAAATCTTCTAATGGGGACACTACTGTAGTTCTGGTGACAACCAGGGATTCCCTCACTTTGGAGGGATTCCCCCTCACTTCCTGTTTTGGCTATGGAAAAGTAAGTGAAGGTAAAAATTGAACAGGCTCGTAGCAGAAATGTACAATTGCTCTGATCCATAGGGTGAATACGGATGTGACAACTGGTTAATGGCCACTATTCCCTAGCTCGGAATGACTGGAGTGAACATGGCCATAGTTTAGAAGCATGAAGAGTATAGCCTATGCTGGCCTCTCTTGAATGTTGTCATATTCGATTTACATCAATGTATTTAATATTGTGTATTTATCACCTCCTACAGATACCCCAAGCTGGCAGCAAAACATCGTGAGTCAAACACAGCCGGAATTGACATTTTTTCAAAATTTTCAGCGTACATCAAAAACACCAAACAGCAAGACAATGCTGGTAGGTAAAGAGAACGGAAGGGATCCTATGTAAGTAATCCTACTAAAGTGATGGAAGACCTGAAAGGAAACTTCAGGCTTCCGCAGTACATTCAGCTACCTTTCCAGGGCCATTTGGGAGCTGAGAACACTGGGGTGGGGGAGATGTACTGTGCCCCTATAAACTAGCACTTAGACAAACCCCCTTCCACCTCTCATGTCTCACTAGTGGTCATTAAAGACACCCATGATACTTATAGACAAGTAGTGTGGAACAGGAATGGGGAATTTAGCTTAATAATTGTGTATCAGTTGTACATTATATCAGTTTTTCAGTGCAAATGAAGATCTATCTGACAGCTTAGCATTCCAAGTGTCCCTGCCATACAGCACAGCCAGAACATTAGCTTCCAACCTTGATCAAGAACTCCCCCTTAACCTGTTGACTGGACTGTAAAAGGTTCAGTAGCATGAGGTCACCCCTTTGCTCGGTCAGCCCTCTTGCTCTATCTGCATGTTCAGTACATGCGTGCTTCAACAGTGCCTGAACAGCACATAGTCTTGGTTCTGAGTTTTGATATCAGTACATCACACCTGCTGCTCTTAAAACGTTGCAATGGTCCAATAGATCTGTTTGCCACTTTCAAAAGTCAATTTGCAATTTAACTGGCCTGTCATGGGAAAAAATAATAACACCCCTGCATTCTCATGTTTATTTCTTTTGTTTGTATTGGTATGACACAAAAAAGTGGAGAAACAAAAAGCCAAATCTGACACATTTCACACAAAACCTCAGAAATTAACTGGACAAAATTATTGGCAACCTCAATTTAATGTTTATTAGCACACCCCTTGGAAAAAATAACTGAAATCAATGGCTTCCTGCAACCATCAATGAGTTTCTTATACCTCTCTATCAGGGGCAGACTGACAACTCATGGGGCCCCCGGGCAATAGGGGATCATTGTGCCCCTGTGTCCTTGCCCAAACTCAAAAAAGGCTATGAAAAAGGTACCAGGCAGGGGCGAACTGACAACTCATGGGGCCCCCAGGCAATAGGGGATCATTGGGCCTCTGTGTCCTTGCCCAAACTCAAAAAAGCCTTTGAAAAAGGTACCAGGGGCATCTCATGGGGCCCCCTACTGACCCTGGGCCCTCAGGCAGTGTCCGAGTTTCCAAATGGTCAGTCTGCCCTTGCTCTCTACTGGAATTTTGGACAACTCTTCTTTTGCCAACTGCTCCAGGTCTCTCAAATCTGAAGGGTTCCTTTTCTCAGATGCTGTTTTGAGATCTCTCTACAGGTGCGATATGGGATTGAGATCTGGACTCATTGCTGGCCAGTTCAGTACTCTCCAGCACTTTGTCTGAAACCATTTCTGGGTGCTTTTTGACGTGTGCTTTGGGTCATTGTCCTGCTGTAAGACCCATAACCTCTAAAGGAGACCCAACTTTCTGACACTGGGCCCTACATTGCACCCCAGAACTCTTTGGTAGTCTCAGGATTTCATAATGCCATGCACACGATCAAGGCATCACGTGCCTGAAGCAACAAAGCATCCCCAAAACATCAGTGAACCTCCACCATGCTTGACGGTAGAGACTGTATTCTTTCCCTTAAAGTCCTCATTTCTTTTTCTGAAAACAGTAGAATGATGAGCTTTACCAAAAAACTGTAATTTTGTTTTGTCTGTCCGCAGCACATTCTCCCAAAAGGATTTTGGCTACCTCAGGTAGGTTTTGGCAAACTCCAATCTGGCTTTTTTATGTTTCTGAGTCAGCAGTGGGGTCCTCCTGGGTCTCCTACCATAGCGTCCCTTTTCATTCAGACGGTGACGTATAGTGCGAGCTGACACAGTTGTACCCTGTGCCTGAAGGTCGGCTTAAATTTGTCTAGAAGTTGATCGAGGTTCTTTAGCCACCATTCGAACAATCCTTCGTTACAATCATTTGATCAATTATTCTCTGTCGTCCACGTCCAGGGAGATTAACTACAGTGCCATGGGCTGTAAATCTCTTGACAATGTTGCACACAGTGGACACAGGAACATTAAGATTTCTGGAGATGGACTTGTAACCTTGAGATTGTCCATGCTTTTCCACAATTTTTGTTCTTAAATCCTCAAACAATTCTTAGCTGCTCTTTCTCTTCTCCATGCTCCATGTGGCACACAGTGGCACACAGAGAAAGGTTGAGTCAATTGTTCACCATTTTAACTGGTTGCTGGTGTAATTGCTATATTGTCAGCACCCATTAATTGGTACAGGTGAGTTTATTTACAAATGATAGGAGCATCCCAAACTTGGAATGAAGTTATTTCTTACAATTTTGAGAAGGTGCCAATAATTTTGTCCATTCCATTTTTGGGATTTTGGGAGGAATGTGTCAGCTTTGGCTTTTTCTTTCTCATCTTTCTTTCTCATACAAAAAAGCTGTGGACACCTGACCATCCCACCTATATAAACTTTTTGAACATCACATTCCAAAACCATGGGCAATTAATATGTACTTGCTCTTCCTTTGTGGCTATAACAGCCTCCACTGTTCTGGGAAGGCTTTCTACAAGATTTTGGAATGTGTCTGTGGGAATTTATGTCCATTCAGGCAAACAAATATTTGTGAGGTCATATATTGATGGTGGAGAAGACATGACTCACAATCAGGATTTTAATTTATTCCAAATGTGCTCAGGGTGGAGGTCAGGAATCTGTGTAGGGAGCTTATGTTCCTCCACACCAAACTCATTAAACCATGTCTTTATGGAGCTGGCTTGCTACACATGCTGGAACAGAAAAGGGCCTTCAATGAACTGTTACTACAACATTGGAAGGCCACAATTATCCAAAATGTCTTTGTATGCTGTAGCATTACCTGTGCCCCTCACTAGAAACACTTAAACTTAATCAGTTGGAGGCTTGTCCACATAATTTTGGCAAAATAGTGTAGGTGTGATTGCCTGATGTTCTTAACCACTTGAGCTCCAGAGGATTTACCCCCCTTAATGACCAGGCCTCTTTTTGCTACTCGGCGCTGCACTAATTCAACTGATAATTGCGCGGTCATGCAATGCTGCACCCAAACAAAATTTACATCCTTTTTTTCACACAAATAGAGCTTTCTTTCGGTGGTATTTGATCATCTGTGCGCTTTTTATTTTTCACGCTATAAACAAAAAAAGGCCAAAAATTTTGAAGAAAAACAATATTTTTTACTTTCAGCTATAAAAAATATATAGTAAACTCAAAGTCGGTTATAAATTTAGGGCAAAATGTATTCTGCTACATGTTTTTGGTAAAAAAAATCCCAATGAGTGTATATTGATTGCTTTGTGAGGAAGTTATAGCGTCTACAAACTATGGTATAAATTCTGCAACTTACGCCATTTTTCTGCTATACAGCGCTGCGCTAGTTTAA